CCCATTAGAAACCACCACGACCCTTCGAACAACAACCGTTGCTCCTTAACGAAAGTGGTCGAACGCAACCAGCAGTTTCACAGGAGGCCTTCGAAACCGATTCGCATGTACTGTATAATCGAGACGTTCGGTGTTCGGGCAAAATGTAAAGAGCTCCACGAATAAGTAACCTAGAATCTCTTACTGTTAATATATGGACACACACTTATCATCAGCTTCAGCATATGTCGTACACAGTCCACCCAGTACTAACCATGCACGAACCATATAGAATGGGTCTACTTTTGACATCCAATATAAACAACATATACCCCACTCTAAGACTCCCTATTACCTAATTATCCTCAATACAGGTGTATCTGTGAGGTAAAAGTTCTTCCACATTGCTCTTTGTCCTTGCTGTGATTAATAAAAACTGTTGGTTATTGAACTGTTGCTTTTTCTTGTATACTTTACTGTCTATATACATAAGTGCTAACGTAAAATTCACATGTGTGTATGAATTTAGCTATCTGGCTGTCTACCTATAAAGCATGCGTGTGTGTGTGTATGTGTGTGTGCGTGAGTGTGTGTGTGTTTGTTTGTTTGTGTTTGTGTATGAACACAGACATGCACTCATACGCACATACAAGCGCGACGTATGCACACATACCCAGGTACTCATTGACTCCCAATCGAACAGTGTTATATGTGTGTGTAGAGCACCTGTGCAGCGCCGGTAAGTTCTGCTCTCCACGATGAGTCACCAATAACTGTGAAATGACACACATTCATACACACATACACGCACACACAAACACACACACGTAAAAAAACAGAAAATAAACATTCATAAAGAAACACACACGAACCAACACATAAAATAAAACACTCATAAACAAACACTTAGATTTTTTAGATGTTATCAATAACCATCAGGGTAAACAGTGTTCCTTGCAGGCGGGTCAATAGCATGCAACAGCCTACTTTGGTATGACCTTTTTTTTTTTCAAACGGACTATGGTGATCTCTTCTACCTTTCAAGTGAAATTTCAACTTAAGATTATAGGCAATGAAGAAGGAAGAAAACTTGTAAAAGAAGGAAGGAAAGCTTTGTTAAAAAAAAACAAAAAAACATATTCAACTTAAGATTATAGGCAATGAAGAAGGAAGAAAACTTGTAAAAGAAGGAAGGAAAGCTTTGTTAAAAAAAAAACAAAAAAACATAGAAACTTTTCGTTACTGGCAAAGATAAGCCGGTTCCACACACACAAATAACACACGCGCGCACGCGAACTCATACACACACAAACACACCCACACACATTTATATATATGTATATATTTATATACATATGTACATATATGTTTATATATACATATTCGCATTTATATTTATATGTACATACATATATGTGTATACATATATATATATATATATATATATATATATATATATATATATACATATATTCATATATATTTATATATACACTTCATATTTATATTTATATATACATATTCATTTTTGTATTTTGTATATATAGATACATATGTGAGTGTGTGTGTGTGTGTGTTTGTGTGTGTGTGTGTGTGTGTGTGAGTTTACGGATATAAATATATGTGTGTATATGTATATATATGTATATATATATGTATGTATGTATATGTGTTTGTATTTGTATATGTATATATATATATATATACACATATGTGTGTGTGTATATATATATATATATATATATATATATATATATATATATATATATATATATAAATATTAATGTACACACACATATAAATATGTGTGTGTGTGTGTGTGTGTGTATGCCGTTATATTCATTTATATATATATATATATATATATATATATATATATATATATATATATATATATATATATATATTTATATATTTATATATATATATATATATATATATATATATATATATATATATATATATATATATACGTATATGTATATATATTCTTGTCCTTTTATACATCCTCATATAGTTACATACATATCTAAGGCTTGATAGTAAACGATAAAACACAGGCAATGAAGCAGTGATGAAATTTTAATACTTTTGCACTATGATTAAGTATCGTTGTATTTCTCTCATATGTCCAATAAGGTACATTTCATTGTTTGGGTTAATTAGAAGGTGAAAATTTCAGATGCCAAATAAAGCAAAATATCGCTCTTGAATAACTATGATTAGTTAACACTAAGTATTATTCATTTTTACTGTTGTTATTATTGTGATGATTATTATATTTTTATGACGATTATTGTTATTACTATTATTACCGTTTCTTATTATTATCATTACTGTTATTATTATTATTATCATTATTATTATTATTATTATTATTATTATTATTATTATTATTACTGTTATCATTATTACTATCATCATTATTATTATTATCATTATTATCATTATCATCATTATTATTGTTATTACTATCATTATCATTATTATCCTTAGCATTATCATTATCATTATTATTATTATTATCGTTAACACTATCATTATCATCATCATCATCATCATCATCACTATCATCATCATCATCATCCTTAGTAGTAGTAGTAGTTGTTGTTGTAGTGTTAGTATAAGTATTAGTATAATTATTATCATTAATATCATTTATTACCATGATCAATGTTGGTATCTATATCAGTATCAGGATCATTATCATTTATCTATTGTTTTTAACATATTAATTTCACTATGATTATGATTACAAGGATGATAATTATAGTTATTATTATCTAGTAATTATTATTATCTTCATTATATTTCTATTAGTATTACAATTATCATCATTGTTATTATTATTATTATCACTACTATTATTATCATTATCATTATTGTTATTATCATTAGTATTACTATTATTATTGTTATCATTAATTTCATTATTTTGCATTGTAACTGTTTATTATTATTATTATCATTATTGTTATTATTATGATAATTATTACTATTATTATTATTATCATTTTTACAATTATCATTATTATCATTATTATTAATATCATTATTATTATTATTATCATTATCATCGTTATTATTATTATTACTAATATCGATATTATTATGATATTATTGTTATTATTGATATTATATTATATTATACATGTTAGTATTATTATCATTATCACCATAAATAGTTTCAATATTATCATTATCATTATTGTCTTCATCATCATTATCATTATTATTGTTATTATCATTATCATTACCATTACTATTATTATTAATATTATAATTATAATCATTGTTATTATTATCATTGCTGTTATAATTATTATCATCATTATTATCATCATCATTATTCTTATTCTTATTATTCTTGTTGTTGTTATAATTATTATCGTTATAATTATAATAATAATAATTATTATTATTATTATTATTATTATCATTATTATCATTATGATTATTATTGCTAGTATCGATATTATTATGAAATTATTGTTATTATTGATATATTTTTATCATCATCATCATTATCATTAAAAATAGTTTCATTATCATTTTTATTATTATTATTATCATTACTATTGTCATTATTATTATTATTATCGTTATTATTATTATTATTATTATTATTATAATTAATAATAATAATATCATTATTATTACTATTATTATCATTATTAGTATTATGATCATCATTATCATCATAAGCACTTTCATTATTATTATTACTATTATCATTATTTTTTTATTATTACCATTATTATTATTATTATTATTATCATTATTGTTATTATTGTTATTATTATTATTATCATCATTATTATTATCATCATGAATACTTTCATTACCAATAATATCATTATGACAATTCCCTTTATCGTTCTGCTTATTGTTGTTATAAAAATTACTATAACCATAATTTTCATCCTTATCATTACCATTGTTGCTATCATCATTATCTTTAATTATTATTATTATCAGCTTTATAATTATTTCAACTGACACTAACACCATCAACAGCAGCACAGCATTTGCATCAATACTCTCTATTTTACAAGTTTATATTATCATCATTATTGCTTTGAACGTTATTAGTATCACCTACTTCCTTATCATCATTAGTTTCAAGCATTCTAAATCTTCTAATTAGCGCTTATGACAATGTCTCTTCTCACTAGGTAGCACTGATGATGAGGGGCGAGCTCATAGCAAAGTCGATGGAATGAAGACGGTATATGTATATGTGTGTATATATAGATAGATTGATTATTATATTGTAGACAGATAGCGATAGATGATATATATATACATATATATTGTTAGATAGATATATAGATATAGATATATAGAGATATACTAGCAGATAGATAGATAGATAGACAGAGAGACTGGATAAACTGACAGACACAGATAGACAGACAGACGGACAGACAGAGAGAGGGTGATAGACAGTGAGAGAGAGGGGGGGGGAGCGAGAGAAGGGGGAGGGGGAGGGAGATAGACAGAGAGGAAACAAAATAAACACACAAGTGTTTTTTTTTCACAAATAAACAACACAACCTATTCTCGACCTTCTGAACCTCCACGTGGCAATACTTGCTTCAGACAGGAAAAAGAAAAATATCTTTCCTAACTCGAACTTTACACTTAAAAATCAAAATTTACAAGGTTGAAAGAAGGCATTTAAATATATCCAGTATCCAGACTTACCTAAGAAAGCATTATGTTGAGAAATAAAAAAGTAGGAGGAACTGCATCATCATTGGAACAAAAACAGCTGTTACCATCCACGTCAAAGCCTCCATGTTGGAAGGTGGTAGTAATATAAAATTGCAGATGTGCTTGAGTTAGTCATTCTGATTACCGATAGTCCGTTGGAAAGTCATACAGTTTGCTCTGTCCTTTCAACACTTTGTTTTCATCATGAGGTGAGTGTTGCTTTCCATTCTGTCCGATTTCCTTTATAAAGGTATTGCATTTTCTCGCTTTACAATGAGGGAAAAGACGATGATGTATAATTATTGCAAAATATTACAATACATATATCTATTCTAAAACACATATGAATGCATATGTATGCATTCATACATGCATACCTATATATGCATACATATATATGCATACATACATACATACATATATACACATTATATATATATTTGTTTGCACACATATATATGTGTATGAATATATGTGCATGTGTGTATATATATACATATATATACATATATGTATATATATGCATATATATATAAATATACATATATTTATATATATGTAGATATTTGTGTATATATATGTATATATACACACATTCACACAAATACTCACACATACACAGATATATATATGTATATATATATATATATGTGTGTGTGTGTGTGTGTGTGTGTGTGTGTGTGTGTGTTACACTTGGAAACATCACATCTATATAAACATGTTTTATTGGTGAAATACATCTTTGTTTTCTGTATGAAACATCAAAGACCTATCAAATAACATTCATTACGATCATTAGCGTCACGCTAATAATTTCTATTGTCGATATAATATGTAAGACTTTTTACCGCTACCACCACAGGTAAGACGATATAGTTTCATATAACTCAACCCCCTTTCCATGTAGGATGTTTAAGATTCACTCTAAAATCAACACATATTTTCTACGCAATCACCTAACTGCTTGTTCTTGCATTTCATTAGGGTGACTGTAATTCTGCTCCTGGTGGCACTTGTGGCCACTGTTCAAGCAGGCTGGTTCTTCGGTAGCAGTGCCAACGAGGAATCACATGACATTGAGAAGAGGTGAGAGTTTTCTTTCTTCTTTTGTATTTAAAAGCAAAGGGAAGGATAATGATATATAAGTTTTAGGTTTGGTATCGATGTTGTTGTTGTTTTTCGATTCTTGGTTATCATTGCAGTTGTTTACTAATAAGGTTTTGTTGTTATTACCATTTTTATCTTTATCATTATTGGTAGTATAAATAGTATCATTATTATTATTATTATTGTTATTATCATTATTATTATTATTATTATCATTATTATTACTATTATCATTATCATTATTATCATTATTGTTGTTGTTGTTGCTGCTGTTGTTATCATCATCATCATTATTATTATTATTATTATTATTATTAACACTATTAACATTAATATCATTATCATAATCATATTATTATTATCATAGTGACCATCATCATTACTATTATCATTATAACCATTACTGGTTTTATTATTGCTTCATTATTATTATCATGGCCATCAACCTAACTTAATTATTAACATCATTATTATTATCACCATTATTGTTATTTTCATTATTTTTTTTCATGATCACAGTCATTACCACCATTATCTTTATCATTATCATTATTAGCATTATTATTATTGTTTCTATTATCACCATCACCATCATCGTTATTATTATCATTATCATGGTTATTATCAGTATTAGCTTTATTACAATCATCATCATTACGAGGACCAGCCCATGAGCATTCATGGCGCCCTCGGCTAGCGAGACATCACACAAGGACAAATTTTTGAGTATTTTTAATACAACCTATTCGTTACGGTCTATGCACGGGTGTTACCCTTTGCACAAACTAATGTGAAAAATCGACGAAATGGTCTGGAATAGCGAGGCAAGGTAGTTAGCACCGTACACAGGTGTTAGCATAGATAAGTGTTCAGTTCCTCATTGAACACAAATAAAAGTACCGATATATATATATATTTTTCATCAGACTGTATACTTTAATCCACATACGTATCTTTTTTTAACAATCATTTATAACATTTTGAGAAACTTCACATTCTTTCTCATAACAGAACCTTTTTTTTTCTTCTTGTAGAATATTTGTTATGGTATTATATTCCTTCCACCAATAGCATTATTCTCCTAACTTCCATCATCATCATTCAAAAGCTATTTTTTTTTTTCATTATTCTTCAAACCTTATCATCACTATTCAACAGGGAAGCCAGTGGTGAAGTGAAAGTTCTTGACGACGGGACCGGAGGATCCTCTGAAGAGGGAAGCGGTGATTATGATGATGACGATGATTATGATTATGAGGAGGAGGATGATGATGATGATGATGATGATGAGGAGGAGGAGGATGAAGAATTGGAGGATTAGGTAAATGAGAACAAATTCGAATCAAGCAATTGAATAAAGCGAAGACAAAGGATGCTACAGGAAGAAATGCAGAAAAAAGACAACCATCTGGGAAAAAAAATATGCAAATTACAACAGCCTGTTGAGGTTTAAAGTCTGGTTCCAGAGAGATTGAATTTATAATTCATTTGGCATAAATATTCGGATATAGTTCTATATGTACAAATGTGCGTATGTGTGTTCATAGAGACATACATACATACATGCTAATATATATGTAAAAGTATCAGTAAATGTATTTCACTTTTCGTATGTATCTTCTGTTAAGTGATACAACCTGTGACTGAGACATTCCTATTCAGAGTCACCATACCTGTCAATTTTATTTTGAGGTTTTCAGTATTGTTGAAGAGTAATCAATAAACACATCAATAAATTAGAAACATGTTGATTTAATGATAATGAATCCATGCGATACCAATAAGAATGTATCATATCTTATCCCCCCCTCTATCTTTATAATTCTCTCTCACTCTGGCAAATATACACTGTTTCTCTCTCTCTCTCTCTCTCCCTCTCTCTCTCTCTCTCTCTCTCTCTCTCGCTTTTTATGTGTTTATTCATCTCTTAATATTTATATCCATTTCTAACTATGTGTCTAAAGTTATCACTCGGTCTCTCTGATAATGTGTACGAACTGATTTTAATGAATTACGTAACATTATAATCTTATTAAAATAATTGAAGAAGTAGCATGCATTAATTGAAAGCATACGTACTCAGAAGCATAAGTAATGAAATATTTCGACGATAACATTTAAAAGTGTAATTAAAGTCTAAAGGACGAACACTGTTATAAGGCAATACAATGCATTTAGACTAATAAGAGAAATGATTAGATGGAAAAAAAAAATGTATAAATGCCTCATTCTAGCCGGTTGGACATACACACACACACACACACATTTCAATGACTCATAACTAATATTATCCATCAATATTATGTAAAAAAGAAAAAAAAAAGTTTGGAAATCTGTCAGTGTTCTGCCCAACGTCAATATTATTGCTTGAAATATGTAGCGTTTTCCTTAAAAAAAAAGAGCACTTGGTGTCATTAGCAACTTGGTGTCATTAGCTAAAGGTCGATGATAATGTTTAATCTCAAACTAAACAAAAAAAAATGCGTTCATAAAGAGACAAATAAGAATTCCCTTTACATTTATAAATGTAAAACGTATTCTTCTGAGAAGCTAAAATATGAATTAAATATCATTTTCTCAGTAAAGATATATCGTAAAGTATATTCACCTGATTCATGATCCGCTTATGGCTTCCTCATGGAACTTATGAATGAAAATCACCAAATTGTTGAATGGGATGTCGATGCTGACGACTCGTAAGATATATGGATTGCACTCTCAAGTCACATGGAGTCATCCCTTTAAAATAATTTCAAGGTTTGACCAGAACATTCATAAATTTCCGACGGGTCGTCAGAGGTAGCTATAAAGACTGTTTGTTATGTATATCCCAGGTCGATATTTATGTGTTTCAATAAATGTTACACTTGGGAACATCACAGCTCATTTACCGGTTACTTTCTATATCCTGAAGATAAAAATGGACAAATCTTACGGATGGTAACTCAGGAGAGAGAGAGGGAGAGAGAGAGAAACAGTGTATATTTGCCAGAGTGAGAGAGAAGGATGAAAATAAACCTACGGATACAAAGTTATAAAGATAGAGGAGGGATAAGATATGATACATGCTTATTGGTATCCATCTGCACAAAAAGCAGACGGACTGAAACACCAAACATAAGAATTACCATTGTAACAATTGGAATTAATTAAATCATTTTATTCATTTCATATTTCACACACACATACACACACACACACATAAATGTAAAACGTATTCTTCTGAGAAGCTAAAATATGAATTAAATATCATTTTCTCAGTAAAGATATATCGTAAAGTATACTCACCTGATTCATGATCTGCTTATGGCTTCCTCATGGAATTTATGAATGAAAATCACCAAATTGTTGAATGGGATGTCGATGCTGACGACTCGTAAGATATATGGATTGCACTCTCAAGTCACATGGAGTCATCCCTTTAAAATAATTTCAAGGTTTGACCAGAACATTCATAAATTTCCGACGGGTCGTCAGAGGTAGCTATAAAGACTGTTTGTTATGTATATCCCAGGTCGATATTTATGTGTTTCAATAAATGTTACACTTGGGAACATCACAGCTCATTTACCGGTTACTTTCTATATCCTGAAGATAAAAATGGACAAATCTTATGGATGGTAACTCAGGAGAGAGAGAGGGAGAGAGAGAGAGAGAGAGAGAGAGAGGGAGAGAGAGAGAGAGAGAGAGAAACAGTGTATATTTGCCAGAGTGAGAGAGAAGGATGAAAATAAACCTACGGATACAAAGTTATAAAGATAGAGGAGGGATAAGATATGATACATGCTTATTGGTATCCATCTGCACAAAAAGCAGACGGACTGAAACACCAAACATAAGAATTACCATTGGAACAATTGGAATTAATTAAATCATTTTATTCATTTCATATTTCACACACACACATACACACACACACACAGATACACACACGCACACGGACACGCACACACACACACACACACACACACACACGTGCGCGCTCACCCACACACACACACTCACGTAGCCACGCACACCCCAATGTATTCACTTCGGCGATAAGCAGCGAGAAGAGGGAGGGAAACGGCAACGCTGTTAAAAATCGACAGGTGTTCTGGCCTCTTGCGTTCTTATGTACACGAACTACTTATTTCTTCCCTTTCTTCTAGCATTCTGCCTCAGGGTGAGCTTGCGTAAGGAGTAGCTGTCCCGAATC